GTCAGAGGACGTGAGACTTATTCTTACAGCAATGACAAAACTACCATGCGCACATACCTGTGGTGGCGAGGGCGAGGGCGAAGAGGGCGAAGAGGAGGTGCCAGTTATCCAGTTGGCGGGCCTCCATCTTGAGGTTTAATCCAATATCCAGTCGGCGAGGTAATCCACAAGGGCGGCGCACTTCACACGTCGCACACACTTCGAAGCAAAAGGTGGTAGAGGTTGAAGAGAGAGAACACTAGTAGCACCAGGTAAAACGAGAGGCGGTAGTATCGAAACAAGAGCACTTTCTCACACTGCCACCCCCAGGGGCGGCCACCGAAGGCCTTCCCGACCTCGGTTTAACACTGATCACTGCACACTTTTAGCACTGATGATTTAATTTTCACTGCACTGAACACCACGACGCCTGGAACAAGGAGAGAGAGAGAAGATAGACACGGCGTTACAGTCCAGGGGCTAGGCCGTTGCACTAGTAGGGGCAGGGAGGGAAGGTGCCGAGCTTGACCCCGCGGGTTGTCATGTCAGTGCCGGTGAAGGGTCGCTCCTGACATGTGTGAAGCAGGCAACCCAAAGGCAGGCACGCGTAGGGTTTGCCTACCTTCGGGCAGCCGCTCTCAGCTGAGCCAGGCCTCCGAGTCGCTCCCGGCCGGACGCCTTCGGCCCTCAAAAAAAGGAAAAGGGCCCGCAAAAAAGACGTATCCGGCCGCGTCTGTCTTTTCGAGAGTGATACACCGCGACATCAAGTCATCCGGGAAATGTAGGAGAGAGAGTTGACTGGTCCAGGGCACTGGCACGGCGGGCGCCCGTCCACAACGCCCGCTTGTCACGTCTTTTGCAGAGCGATGTGGGGTCCCAGTGGCGACATTCTCGCGCGGACAAGGCCTCCCCTTGTCTGCACGAGCACCCCGACGAGTCTGGAGGCCGAGACCGGCAGTGGGAAGGCAGAAAGAGCCGCTGCCCCGCCGCGCCGCAGCGTCCCTGGAGCCAATGTTTACACCCCTAACATAACCCTACTTTCTTGCGGGGGTGGAGCACCACGAACCCTTTTCTGCGCCAATCCTGGGCGAAAAGTGGAGCGGATGACACAGACAGGCAGTCTAAAACGACGCACGACTCGCTGCCAAGCAGAAGGCACCCACGGTTGCCCGGTTTTAACTCAGATCGCTCGCTTCCGCGACTTTGTCGTGACAATAAGGGGTGGATCCGCTCCGGAGGCTGGCTCGCTTTTCACACTCTTCAGAGCGCTCCTGGTGGTCGTATCGCCCTCAAACTCCGTCCGGGGTCCGGGGCGGCCGTGGAGGCTCGGGAGGAGGCGATGTTACAGCAGAATGTGGTGCTGGGGTGTTGTGGACAACTCCAACCCCCGGGCGCACCTGGCGGACCTGGCCCTCGCTCCGGCGGAAGGGAGGTTACACACCCCCTTGCACTGTTCCGGGGGACGGTTCAAACTCGGCACCTCGGACAGGGGGACAGGGATCCTGGTGGGTGTACACACCTCGAAGCACTCACGGAGCCGGCCCGCGCACCGGACACACTAGAACAGCACGAACACACACATAGCACTGGCTAGACGGCGAGTCGGACCGCGAACAAACACAGCAGAACGGCCCCGTCCGCGGTACAGCACAGCACGGTGCTGTATTGACGGCTCGGTCGTGAACGCCAGGAGACGCAGCCCAGCCAGCCCCTGCCGAGCCGAGCGCGTGCCGAGCGACCCCCGAGCGCCTCCCGAACACACCCGAGCGCCGAGCCGAACGCTCCGCAGGAGTCCCGGCCCCGCGCGGCCCCGCGGAGGACCCGGCGAGGCCCCTTGCCGCGTAGGCAACCCTTTTCCACCGCGAGCCACCGCCTTGTGAGCGAACGGCGCCAGAGCGGCAACCGCAGGGGCGTGTCCAGGACCCCTTGCGGTGGCTTTGTACGGACCACGTGCCGGAGAATGACGACAGACCAGCATTTTAATGTTCGACTAAAAAATTCTGCTCATTTGAAGAGCAAAACGAAGGGGCAAATCGAAGTTTAGCGGCGCGGTATTTTTCCGCCGCTGTTGGCTGGGCGTGTCTTAAGAGATTGGACTACACAAAGAGTTTGGTCGTATAGCCGACGTTCGCTTGAGAAAACGCCACAGACAGGTCTCGAAAGGCTGAGCATTCTATAAAGAACCTGAAGAGCCAACAAAATGCCCCATTTCCTGACAATGTCGCGAATTTGACTGCGTTATTTGCGCTTGGTTTTGAATACGCCGCTCTGCGCGCCTCGATGAGCCCATATCACTTCCGGTGCGAGTTGGCACCTCGGCCGGTCTGCTTTTTCACCCGGCTTGTTTGCTTCTGCCGAGGTGGCGACGGCGACACGCTGCAAGTCGCCTATTTCTAACGTTCCTGTGTGACTCGGCCCCGCAATGGCGTGGCTACGTTTAACCCTTGTCGCACTGGTGCTTTTGTGCGGTTCGTCGCTCGCCGCTCCGGACACAATCAGCCCTTCCGTGAGGGTGAAACAAGCAGACAGGTTAGTCGACCTGGCATCCCAACTTGTCAAGATCAACACTCAGCTGGTGTTTGAAAACACGGGCAGCGATGCTGCGCGCTATGTCCTCGTCGCCCTGGACGAGAGCCACGCCAACTCACTGGCCTACATCAACGCCGTCCTGGTGGAGCCCAACAAGGGCGGCGTGAAGCCCCTGAAGCTGGTGGAAACCAAGGTGCAGGGCCATGAGCACAGCTCCAACCGTTTCTACCGCATCGAACTCAAGACACCCCTGAGCACTGGCAAAACGGTCACCATTACTCTCGAGTGCATTCACAGCCACCACCTGGAGCCCTTCCCCCGAGAGATTACCCAGAAGGAGAAGCAACTCGTCAAGTACAGTGGCAACCATTATATTGTCAGTCCATATACTGTTGTCAAGCAGAAAACGACTGTCAATCTGAGTGCACGCAATATTGAGAACTACACCAAGCTGAAGCCTGTCTCGCAATCAGACATGTCAGTCTACTATGGACCATATGAAAATATTCCACCCTTCAGCGAAGACCCTATGGTTATTCATTGTGAGAACAACACCCCTTTCCTTGCTGTTCGCAACCTACTACGTCAAATAGAAGTTTCTCATTGGGGCAATATTGCCATTGAGGAAACTGTCGATTTGGAGCATACTGGGGCAATTTTGAAGGGTTCTTTCTCCCGCTATGAATTCCAGCGCGAGAGTGGTAGTGGTCTGTCTAGTGTCAAAAATTTCAAGACTATTCTGCCAGCTTCTGCAACGGATGCTTACTACAGGGATGATATTGGAAACATCTCCACCTCCAACATGAGAGTCTTAAGTGATGCTGTTGAACTTAATCTTCGGCCAAGGTTCCCTCTCTTTGGTGGATGGAAGACACACTATGTTGTTGGATACAATGTCCCCAGCTATGAATACTTGTACAACTCTGGCGATCAATACATTCTCAAGATCCGATTCATTGATCATATCTTTGATGATATGATTGTTGATGATGCTGTTACCAGGTAATTTTGATTGAATTATGAGGATTTGAGAGCTCTTCTTACCAAATTCTTCTTAATGTCAGTTTCTTTTCTTTTTGTAATTGTAGGATTATCCTCCCTGAGGGCTGCCACAACATTCAGGTCAAGTCTCCCTATCCTATTGATCGTCTTGCAGACAGTTTGCACTTTACCTATCTTGACACCAAGGGACGCCCTGTGGTTGTCCTTCACAAAACCAATCTTATTGAGCACCATATCCAGGTAAAACTTTCTGTGGTCTACTTTTCATACATGCAAAGTAAACTTAAATAAACTTAAATAAACTTAAATGAATTTTACAACTCAATTTCTATTTAAAGGATTTGGAGATCAGCTACAGTTTTCCTAGAATTCTTATGCTTCAAGAACCTCTGCTGCTCATTGCGGCTCTCTTCTTGCTGTTTGTTCTTGTCATCATATATGTGCGTCTTGATTTCTCAATTAGTAAAGATGAAGCAAGTGAGAACAAACTCCGTATTGCTGGCCTTGTAGAGAAGGTTTTAAGTAAGTAAATTTTCTATCTAATTCATCAGACAAGTCAATTAAATAAGTTGTAGTGTGCATCGTCTATTTCCATTTTTGCTCCTTCTCAGGCCATCAATTAAAACGTATCAATGCTTATGATGCTTATGACGAACAGTTAAACAAACTGAAACAGATTAAAGATGTCAACAGCTTCAATTCAGCTTTAAGAACTATTACCAATGATTTAAAAAATGAAACACAAGCAATTTCTGATCATCAAGCAAAACTAAAATCAGATGGACCTGAACTTGCTGAGAAAGTTACTGAACTTCAGAAGCTTGACAAGGTGAGTACTCATTTAATTCGTAAGTTGTAATTACTCAATTTTTTCTCATGCCAGTTGGATGCATACTAAATTTGTTTTTGCCTTCTCTTTTGCACGGCAGGCTCTCAAAGAATTACTCAACCAGCAGCAAACCTTGTATGTTGAGAAACTTATTCCAGCCAAAATCAACCGAACTGCTTTTGTGGAAGCTGATGGACCATTAGCAAAGAAAAAAGCAGATATTAGGGAAAAGATCACAGCTGTCGTCAAAAGTCTTCAGAACTAAGACAAGACTGAGTATATAATTGAGTGCTGTTTTCATTGAAGTACACTTTTTTTCTCAGTGTCAGACATTGAGTGATGAATTGGGAGTGTATTGTGATACTAAGTGTTCTATCTCCACTGAAGTAAAAATTATGTAGGAGTTGTATCAGATAGTCAGTGATGTGCATTCCTATTCCTGTATATCTAAAGAACTTGCCGCGTCAATGTTTATTTTGTGCCTGTATATTTGTTTGACTCACAATGTACAGCACAATTCAAATTGAATTTATAATTCAGATTTATATTTTAAAACCAGCACAAGTGGCCAATCAAAATTGTCTGGTAGCAAAGTTGGTTTGAAAGGTCCTACTTTATATGCAAACTTTTTCTTTGGAATTTAATTATTAGCAAAGGAACATCTCTTTATACTTTGGACAGTAAGGGGACTTTTCAGCACTTGTGCCAATGTACTATTTTGACACAACATGCCACATTTAACAGTACCTCTTACCAGAAGGTTAATGAGATCAGCATTTTTGTTTGCCTATTTTACCAACACTTATCAACACTATTGTGCATAGGTATTTCTAATATTATAGTGTTCTGTGTCTGTTATTACTTCGTTTATTTTTAACTTAAACCGAGAGATGATGCTCGACTGAACTGTGGTTTGATCTCAATCTCTCCAAGCACTAAAACAGTAGGCCACAATTTTTGTGAAGTATATTTAGAAAACCCAGAGAGTGTAGCAATTTTAGAGTTGTATCCGGGTTTGAGTGGTTTGAGTAGTCATAAGTAGGCCTAATGCAATTTTCAACTGAGACCTAGCCCAACAAGTTTCATAAAATCTTGTTTAATAAATCTACTATTAATGGCGATTAAGTTTGAGAGACCGAACAATCTTTTGTACTAAAATGCTCCTTCTTTAAAAAAAAAAAAATTGCAAAATTTTTGAACTCAAATTATGTTACCAAATGTGTGTTGCTTACTTGAATAAAAATATGATTGCTGTCCCTAATTCAACAGTTTATGTGTACATACATTTCTTGTACGTCATATTTTTGCTATGACTACTCTGAGCACTGTGAGTCTAATCCTACAACGTAAAGGGATAAACAAGTACCAAATACCATTTCCATCATCAATGCATATTATATTTTTTTAGGGAAATATTAAGGTGGCTTGACTAAGCGGTAACAATCACAAGCACTGCGGCTTTACCCCGCGCAGGCCCGAGGAACTCGTGACGTGGAGTATGTACGATCACACGCTCGACGCGACAACACCTGCGCAAGGAAAATCTATAATAAAATAAGTCTTATTTTGTATGCTGAGTGTCTTTGTGGTAAATTTTACTGATTTTCTTCAGTATCCTCGCTGCCGCTCGATTTTTGGCTTTTGAAGTTTGACTTTTGACTCATACGGCCCAGCTCTCCTCTTGTCGCGCATGCGCGGAGCAAGATGTTGCTTTGAGCGCGGATCTTTCGTGCCTCTCCAAAACGGCAACCACACGCAAAACAAAGTTTAGAAGAAAGCCTTTTAAAAAGCAGCACATCCTTTTGATTGCACCAAAAATTTTATTTTTTATTCATCATTATTTTTGTTTGTGTCTGGTTTTTGTATTTTCGAATACTTGTACACAACTTTTGATAAAATGTAAAAACAAGAGAACAAACATATCTTTTGGCAACACTACAATAACACCACACGTCTTCGCGCTTCGCACTACTTCTATTTCTGATTGAGGGCAAACGTTGACAAACTCAATTCATGTATTTTTCTATTTGTTTTTTTATTTTAACTAAAGACGATAAATGAGACAGAACGTCTGAACTTATTATTTCGCAATGAATGTTGTTAACGCGTTATATCAACGAGAGCTAGGGGAAAGTAAGTATTGTTTGTCAGACATACGCCGATTACACTCCACATTACGTATACGCAAAGTTTTAAATTAGAGTTGCCTCGTACAAAATATGCCCTTTCAATTAATTATTTATTTCAAGAAAGTTTTATTAGTTTTTTCATCATTGCCGATAGCTTCTCTCTGTAATGCGATTTAACCCTTTGGAATAGTTCAGAGAGGTTAGTGCACTGCATTATTTTCTTGCATTGTAGAGAAAATTTAAACCTCTAATTCTTTTACTTTATGCTTTGAAATGGTGCACTTGATGCCTGTCACTTCGATACTTTGCTTTGTGTTTGTATGTATTTGTGAGTGAGTGTTAATATATTCCCCATCCTATTTCTGCTAGCTGCTTACTTAATACTTCCTTGTTTTTGTGTGCTGCTCTTAAGGATCATGGTGGGACTACAGCATTGCTCTACGACGTTTGAAGTGCCATGACTATGACGAGTTCCGAGGGATTTCTCCAAGCACAGAAGGCCCTGATTTTAATCCAGAACCACCAGTGTTTGCTTGTACCTTTTGCACCACTCCTCAGAATGAGCATCTACTTGCTTTGGCTAATGAAGATGGAAAAATAACAATTCAGGACACCAATAAGCGGAGTGATCATAATCCATTAGAAGGTAACTTGGTCTAATCCATTCGCATTATGTTCACCCTTGACAACTCTCTTTTTGGAACAATGAGACACGTCAAGCAGAAGCATCCATTGTGTTGCTAACTTGATAGCTTAAATGCATTTTCAATCAACAAACTTGAGAAGTTTTCTACCCCTTCTATCAAGGTGTTATAACTAATTTACTTTACAGGGCATCAGGCTCATCACAATGCTATATTTGACATAGCTTGGGCACCTCAAGAAATGCGTCTTGTCAGTGCATCAGGTGATCACACTGCTATATTGTGGGATATGCAAGAATCTGGTCAACTACAAGAAGTTGCTCGCTTTCATGCTCACACTCGGAGTGTCAAAACAGTCACCTTTCCTCGTGATGACAAGAGTAAGTCTCATTCCAATTAAAAGAAAGGTATTTGGTGTATATAAAGTATGGATTAGAATGTTGTTAATTCATTTGTCATTCTAGTGATATTTGCTACTGGTGCTAGAGATGGTGTCATCATGTTGTGGGATACTCGAATTCAGAAAAACCAGTTATCCATCCGCCCTGATAATTTCATTTTCAACTCTCACAGTGCTCCAGGTTATTGTCATTCTGAAATGCAGTGTTAAAGTTTTTAACAGTAAACAAATTTTCTTGGAATAACGGGTAGATTCTTTTTTTTTTAGGAACTCCAGGAAGCTCATCAGCGAACCGAAACCGGCGTGTAAAATCTGCTCCCTCCAGAGCCAGCAGCATAACAGGACTCCTTTTCCAGGATTCAAATTCTTTGATATCTTGTGGCGCTGGGGATGGGTAAGTGCCTCCTTTTCATTTTCTTTGATATGTGTGCTCAATTTTTCATTCAATGATTTACATGTTCTCATCTTTTTCATACCTTTTTCAGGAAAGTTAAAGTGTGGGATGTAAGAAAGAGTTACTCAACATATAGGCGTGAACCACAGCCAAAATATTCCATGTCAACACCTAATGGCTCTGGAAGAAGTGGTTTTACTTGTTTAGCTATGGACCCTAGTGGGCTTAAATTATATGCCTCATGCATGGACAATACTATTTATTCTTACAATATCTCTACATATGAAGAACAACCAGGTATTTTGTGTTTTCTTAAAACCGTTTATACCTAAATCTCATTTTCAGCAAATGCCTTAACAAATTTTCTCCATGTTCCAGTGGCCCTATTTAAAGGTCATAAGAATGGCACCTTCTATGTAAAAGCTTGTCTCAGTCCAGATGGCAGATACTTGCTGAGTGGTTCTAGTGATGAATTAGCCTACATATGGGATACATACTCTGTCAGAGGAGAAGTAACTACACCTATTGTTAAGCTTGTAGGACATGGTGCTGAAGTAACAAGTGTTGCCTGGTGTCCTGTTGGAGAAGTTAAGGTACTTAAACAGCTGATAAATTCCTGCTCTCTCTATTGATTTTAGATGTCTTTGTAATTTTTAATCTTTTACATTTCTCTTTCTAGTTGGTTACCTGTTCTGATGATGCAAGACATTGCCTGTGGCGTGTCGGTCGCGAATTCCGCGGAGACAATTACCAAATTGAGCTGCATGGCTGGGCAGAAGAATTATCTGACAAGCCTGACAAAGCTCTCTCTAGTCCTGCTACTCCTGCAACGCCCAGCTTCACTGCCTGGAAGCGTTGGACTCCATGTATTCAAAGGACCCCGGACAATGAGGGGCAGCCCAGCACTGCTTGTGATATCTGCCATCGTTTATCGACACCATGTATGCGATGCATTGCTATGAGAGCTCCGTTACCACTCTCTGTCCCAAACGGTTCTAAAAAACGTTTAGAAGTCTTATGGGAAGAAGATTTCAACTGCCCTGAATGTGAAAAAGAAGGTAGACCCATACTTAGTCAAGTTACCAACAACATAGACGCTCCTGCTCGGCGTCTGTTCAGTCCTTCGAAAAAGAGAGCTGTAGAGGAGCAACAAAACGTCAGTGGCTTAGACAAGAATTCGGCTAGTAAATGTAATTTAGATGAGAGCAACCGTGTCAAAAGGCTGGCTACAAATGGGATGTCTCCTGCGATGCCAAGTCCTAAAAAGCCATGCACTGCACCAGACTTTGCTGTTACTAGGAGAACTAGTCCAAGAAAAAGGTGTCTTGATTCTCAAATTGGTACACCAGAAAAGAGATTCAAAGTGAATGAAAATGCCAGCTGCTCAAGCAAACAAGATGAGCTACCTCCTTTCATGTTATCTGATAATGGTGGTCTGGCTCAGTTAAATGAGACTGGGGAAACCACAACATACTGTAGTCCCAGGAAGAAGCTTAGACTTTCCCCAGAGGATCAATGTGCAGTTCCGACCACAAGTGTGTCTCCAAAGAAGGGTCTTGGAACACCAATCAAGAGGAGAATTAGTGAAAGGCGGACAGATAGCCCTCACAAACGACCACCTCCAACTGATGATCTTTTGGTAAGAGATGAAGATATCACTTTTGAGCTCCTGAACATAATCCTGCAAACTGGTAAATATCATGATTGTTGTTCTTTGTTTCATGTATTTCAGGGTATCAGTAAAATTGAAGATAATCCTCCATCAGATGGTCACATTCGACACAGAAAGCTCTGTGTAAGACACAGCAGGATGGGTTTCAGCTCACCTACTTTGAATTTACCTAATTATGTGTTGGATGGTACATCACCCCATCATCGCTGTTCACCAGCACGTCACCATAAAGAAAATGTTGATTGGCTCACTCGACTCCGTAGAGAACGTAACTCCACAGACAAGAGACCTGAGCCTGACACCTTATCAGATCAGGTACAGTGCATTCTGTTCTCTTAAGTTCCTCCCATTGACCATACCTTTTGTTAAGCATGCACCTAATAATAAGCATTTTTTTGTTATTTTGGTAACAGGATGCCGCATCTTCACTACCAACTAATTCAAGACGGGTAATAAGCCAAAAAGCTGATGGAAAACCAAGCTCAAGTAAAATAACCCCTGCTAAAAATTCCACAAGTCGTGTAACCCCGGCCAAGACCTCCTCAAAGCGGACAACTCCTGCGAAAGGGACAAGTAGAACAACTCCAGCCAAATCTGTTTCAAGTACTCCAACCCAAGTGGGCAAAAAGACTCCATCAAGACGACCATCAAACACTGAGACCTCATGTAACCCTAGTACAAGTGGAGCATCAACTAGTTTACTTAGATTTTTCCGTGTTGAGAAACCTGTAGAACAACAATGTTCTGCCGGAAGCAGTGCCACTTCCAAATCAGTGAGTTCTGTTGTTTCTCAATAATTTGATACATTTTGTGATCTAATTTTTTTTTAAAGTGCCTTTTTAGGTGTACTTGGATTTTACTTTTAAATCACAAGTAACTTTGCCATTATAATCTTGAATATTTGTTTTGTTTAAGAATTTCTGATACTGTCTTAAGAACATCAATATTTTTGTATGGTTAATTTTGAATATCTTACTGAATTATACTTGATAGTTTTTCTTTTTTAATGACATCATAAATATTTTTATGAAGGGTTGTAGGTAGGGTGACATTGATTTAAGTTTTACCAGTGAGAGAGTAGTAGCAGGTTCTGAACTTGAAGTTAAAAGAAAAGATTGAACCTTACAAAAGCTTACAAACTTGTGCATTGTTTTATAGACTTATAAGTATTGATAATCCATTTGAAGTTGTACTTCATCTCTGATGCTGATGAGAATCTCAGTTAATTAAAAATATTCTTTGACTGTTGACACACTTAAAATGTGGTTTAGCAACTACTAACGCTTCATTCACATTCATGTTTAATTCCCTCAAGCAAGCACTACACAATCATCACAGTTCATTGCGTAATGTTTATTGCTCATAATTTAAGTTGGTTAACAGTCAGAGAATGTTAACAGATATGTTTTTTTTTAAAATGAATGTTTAAATTATTTTTATATATTTCCTTGTGTTAGTGGCAACCATGTTGGGTGTCCATGAAATCTTTGTTGTTGAAGTAATTTGGTATTGGTTTCAATTTTCATGTTAATAGTATGAAAATTTATCAAACCTCAAATCAATAAAAATAAAAAAACGAACAAAATAAATTAAACCAAAACCAGAAATTTTTTAAGCTACAGTGGACTCTCGGTAAGTGTCGCCTCGATAAGTGTCGCGTGCGAGAGAGATGGCTATAGAAAAATAGCGCTTTCCACGCGGACTGACTGCCGGCTCCGGCGGCTCGCCCGACTCACCTGCCGGAGGAGTGGGGAGAGCGGAGCACTGCAGCAGCCAACGCACAGTACCCTCGATAACTGTCGCGGCGACATTTATCGAGAGTCCACTGTACTTGTATTTTCTGTGATCCTAAGCGTCCCATCTTTTTGGAATAAACATTGTTTCCGATCAATGGTCAGGAACGGGGCGGCGACATACCGCGGGAAGACCGGCTCGAACCAGCCGGAGTCCTGACCCTGCACAGACGTCCTTGTTTGTAGCTACCCAACAACAACCCACCCGAACCGACAGTAGAAAAAGGACAAAGTCCGCTCTGCGCCGCAAATGCTCATGACCCTCCTCCACCCCGACAAAAATGAATGAGTACGCCGCACACCCCCCACGCACCGGGCGGGCGTGCCACCGTCTGGAAATGTAAGCCGATGCTCTAGGGGATGATTCATTCGACGATGTCGCTGTCCCGGCTCACATCTCACGAACGGAACTCCCCCAAAAGTTACATATGTTGTGTGAACATTTTTTTTCGAATCATCAGGACAGCGTCGAGTGGCCAATGAGTTTACTCGTAAAGTGAAGAAAAACGAAGAAGCTCAGATTATTCCATCCTGCGATGTTTCTCTGATATTCTTCTTCCAATTTGTTAATTTTCTTACATTGTTGGCTTACGTTTTACTAACTTCCCCCTCTTACGTCCGAGGCCGCGAGCACGGCAGGCGAGCTGCCCCCCGCCGGTCACCCCTCCCCACTGGCGCCGTTGCTGTTGGCTGGCGGAGCGAAGTTGTTTGTTGTCAGTCTTGGCCCTGACAGCCAGCGCCCAGCGCATCGGGCTGTGTCGGGCCGGTCATGACCGGCTTGTCGACTTTCGCGACGCGATTCCTCTCGTGCTAAGTATTCGGTACTCGCTCGCGTTCCCTAAGCCCTAAAACCCGTACGGGCCTATCGTGATGACCCAGGCCAAGAGCATCAACAGTCAACAGTGTCAAGTCAAAGTGCCCAACTGTGGCCCTCCGTAGAGTAGAGCAGGAGGGGTATGGTTAACTATATCACGATATCCCACGATTTTCGCGCAGTTAGTGGGTTTTTATTTTGCACGGGACGTGTGTCGGTCAGTATTGTGATTACCCCAAAAGAGTCGCATACTGACGTTGGTTTGTACGGTGCAGGTTTTGGGGTTCTGCGTCCCTGCTGAACCGAGTGGGGCCTCGAAGAGGGTCGGCAACGGGATTCGGTGCTTTCGTTTATTTGTACAATGTTTGTAGACATTTTCCCTTCACCCAAATTAAATGGCGATCAGTCTGGCCGAAACTGCTAGCCGGCGGCGGAGCCGTATCCGTTGCAGGATTAGAGAGATGGGGGGGGGGGGCAAGGTCGCGCACCCGTCCTGGACTAATCAGACGCAACATCTCAACCGAGACGTTATCACTCTATCAGTTTCAGAACTGCAATATTTTGATCGCACATCCAAACGAGCCGAAGCTCCTTTGCGGATTGTTTCATTTCCCCTTAGAATCACTTAAATGAATTGGTATAGTTAGCCTAGGTGAAAGGGGACCGGGAGAGGGGGGAGGGGGTCCTTTTTGGACCCAAACCAGCGCACTTTTTTTATGGATGACCCCTCGCGGTCAATTACTTACAAGTGAACGTGCAGCAAGTTCAGTGCAGTGCCTATGTGTCGTCAGTGATATCAAGCCCGCCGCAGAGGAGTTTGACCTCCTCTCATCTACCCGTTGGATTATTCATCTGTCACCTGTCACCTGTCACCTGCTGCTGCTGCTGCTGCTGATGCTGTTGCTGCTGTGAGCCGACTGTCACGGTAAGACGCCCCATCCATCTGTTTCTTTTCAGCAATTTTAACGTCAAACATACCTTTCCGATGTTGGCGGAGCAGGTTTAGAAATATTTGATTCCTGGAAAGGATCTTTTTGGTCAGAACGTTTTGATTATGTCAGGCGCGGTTTCATAGAGGGAGGGTGGAGGGGGGGGGGGGCGCCCCGCAGCGGCGCTGTGCAGAGCTCGCCATGAGGCGCCCCTACTTGACTGTGACCAAAACCTAGAGTGGACACAGGGACTTCACAGAATACGCCGCATTCCAAAGCCAGGAGCCCCTGAGGGGGCGCCGTTTGGCCCGAGGGGTCGCGGGTAGTCTTGTGTGGCACCCTTAGCCTTAGGCACCTGCCGGGTCGCACAAAGAAGGCGGCCGATTAGATGGTACCTAAAGTAGGCGGGGGATGACAGGATTAGGGGGTGCTGCCGGGCCCTAGAGGTCGCCGTCGGGCCCTAGAGGTCGCCGTCAGGCCGAGGGGGCCCTACGGCCCCTACTGCTGCCTGGCACCGAAGGCGCCCCCCCCCCAAATGTAGCACAATTCCTTTTAAAGTCGAAATTTTTGTCATGCAATTCAAAAAAATTAAAAAATAAATTCTCGCTCGCGTCGCTTGCGGTCTTCT